TGTGTTGAATTCTCCATCATAAAGGATAAATATTTCAATGTTCAAACTGTTAAGGATCTTTTTAATTCTGTTCATCTTCATTTAATTCTTGGTTTTTTAAAAGAAATTGATTTCATTAATGAATTTTGATTAATATGTTCTGTATATAGCTGTGTTTTAATGATTGGTAGTTTGATTAGTAACTTAGATTGTTAGTGGCTGTACCCTCAAGGGGGGTTGAAGTATCGTAAAAATATTGTCCCCCTGAGAGGGTACGTAAGTCCCAAAACTTCGAAAGTCAATTTAAACTTACCAGGATTTTTAAACGTAGCATTTTTGTCATTTTAATTGTAGCTAACATTTCTTACAATCGCCAGCAGCTGAAGGGAAGGTGTAAATCCAACTAGGGTCCATGCAGGTAGCCAAGGTACTGTAAGTCCCCATGGTCCCTAGTATGGTGATCGACCTTCAGTTGTTGGCGATCTATAGCCTGTTTTTATCTTGTATTGTCCTAATAGTGCTATTAGTTTTAACCTTCCACACTAGTTTTAAATCTAATTGTGATATTCTAGTATTTTTACTGTCCTTCGTTGACAGGGTTTTATATATTATATGTCTGTATTACAAAGTAAGAACTAGTTTTAGTCACGATATGGCTGAAATATTGCCGATGTGACTTTAAATCTTAACTCACTCACTCACTATAATTTATTTTAGTAAAAACACCAAATACTCGATGTATGGTATTGTATCAATGCAGCAGACATGTGTAAACTATGTCCAAACATATTGTATATGAGGAAATCACATTTCAATTTCGACAATATTTTGAAGCCATTGAAATCATCAAACGTCAAACGATAACTCTTCAAGTCTCATAAAAAATGAAAGTTGGGCAAGCCCTCAATACCACCTATAATATAAATCTTTGCAGCCTATAGGGCTTACACGAAAAATATGGCTTGCTACGCGCCTGGCAAACGCACGAGAATTGCAATACGGACCTCTAACCACTGATTCTCCGTGACCCGGAGACGCATGTGACTGAGCGTATGTTGGTACGTCGTCTGTCATACAGACCCTGAAGTAAATATATCCAAGCCCACGTAAGTCTACAAAATGTGGCAAGTCTAGATTTCCACAGCTTCAGGAGAAAGTCTCAGGGCTCCTTTTCATAATATTATATATTGTTTTATACTATGAACTTTTTTTCTGTAAAATATGTTCATATCAGAGACTAGTTGTTAATCTAGTTCTGACGGGTAGAAGACAAAAGACAAAATGGATACTAGTGCTGCTACTATTTTTTAATTATATATAAACATTCGTCCTTGTCTCGGGATGAATGTTTATTTTCCACCAAATGTACATTCGGAGGATATCGAAATCTAGGTTAAGCTATTTGAATCATATTTGCAATTAAAACACCCAAACAATGGTTTGTTGTTCCAAATTTTGGTTTTCCATATCTTGTCCCAGTCTGTATCACAGTCACGGAACGATATTTTTCCTCTTCCGTCTCTAGCAAAAATCACTGCAGGGTTCGGGTTATGGAGTGCCATACCAAACACCCACAGCTGGCGGGACCAACATCTCCAGTAACATTTACAACTGCCAACGCTTAATTCGCAAGTGGCGAGGCAATAAGCTAATGAGGCTAAGGGTTTGTGAAATATCTATGATTCCTTGTATGAAGTCTATCATCTAAGCAAGTCTAGCTATGTATGGCGTTGTCACTGCTTGAAGAATGGCTCCTTTAGAATTTTATTTGGTAAATACATGTATTAGTATTTCCATCATATTGGTAAATACATAGACCAACGCTTAGTGTCTGAATATATATAACTTTGATAGTGACAAACAAACCTATTTCAAATGAAAAGGAGCCCCAGGGAGACACGAGATTCAGTCCGGCCAGCCATGGCAGTTAGATATGTTTACTTTGTAACCCGACACCCAAAGTGAGCTAGGTTTCTTGCAGATGTTAACAGATCCTGGACCTGAGGAGATCGAGACTTGCTTCATTAAAGGCTTTAGCATTGCAGAGAGGGCTTGGCAGTGGTTCATGTGGTTCAGGGACTGTGAGACAGACTAAGCAGTAAGGGAAATAATGTGGTTCAGGGACTGTGAGACAGACTAAGCAGTAAGGAAAATAATGTGGTTCAGGGACTATGAGACAGACTAGAAAATGCATGGCAACCTACACTTCATTGTGACTATGATTAAAGCATCATTTTAAAACACAAGGCTTATTTCCTTTGCGTTAACTGACAGGCTTTCGGTGTCAAATTATTTGGAACTCCGGCCAAATGTGATGTTATGCTGTCTGGAAATATGGCCTTTTTGCAATGCTTTGGTTGCACATAATGAGAAGTGATTGTTGTACATATGATGTTTTTGAAGGATAATCTCAGCTGACTAATACTTTGCACGTGTTTCCCCCCACTCTTTCCATACCCGTAAAAGTTAATTTTCCATATATATGTCTGTAAGAAAATACTGTAAAGTAATGGAATGGCTGAATTTTTGCCAACTGAGGTAGTGACCACAGCACTCTGGTTATACTGCATTCAGAGAGGACAGAGCTTGGCAAGATGCCAATAAATATGCTTGTCATTTAAACCTTTATCTGATGTTTGTGGAATGTGATTTTATAATTGAAGATGCTTCCTGCACAGGTAGCCCCAATATAGATGTTGTTAGTCTGTGAATCTTCCAAATTACTTCGTCTCTTTTTTTCAATTGAAATTAAGATTTTTGCCTTATATCAAAATAATATAGTTTCAGTCTTAATGTGCCTATGTCGGGAATCAAACACAGGTTTTTGACCTGACAGGCGAACGCTTTAACCACGAGCGTACCCCATGCATCATTCCTTGATACTGTTAAAGATTATACATTGGTACATTTATTATACATTCAAGATTGAACCCAGTTTTGTCACCATATATCCTTCAGTTTTTATGTTAGTGACATGATCTGCACACTGATAATTTCAAAAGAGGAATATAAATAATGTTTGTTTGCGATCTTTATCCAATTAGTTTTCCATTTATCTAGTAATTTTCAGTTTCTATTTCCTGGAAATTCTGTACGAAGGTACTTTTAACAATTTCATCCAATAACAGTAAAGCATACAGATAATACGTTTCGGTACTTTGATAAAATAATAAGTACACATTATATTTCATGATATTGAGATACCAAAATGATTAACATAATTACATAATGTATAACAAATTAGACAGCAAAAAGCAAAAGCAAAAAAGAAAACGCATGAGCAACAAAAATGCTGGCAGGTTGTAAGATTTCAATAATTATCGAAACTGCTTAGTTATGAGCTAGTTGCAATCACTACAATTTTCTATAGTCTACCCAAGAGATGGAAACAAAATAGGTCTATTATGAAAATTATGAGCTAATTGCAATCACTGCAATTTTCTATAGTCTACCCAAGAGATGGAAACAAAATATGTCTACAGTATATTCCGTCGGGTAACTGAAATTTGAGAAAGCGTCCGTAATACCTGTATTCCGAATCAAAAAGAGGTCATACCAAGTATGTGCATGTTCACACATTTACAACAGTAATTTACACCGGGAATCATTAATACATTGTAATCAACTTTTTGAAAGTATAGATCAGGAAATTTGTTCAGTTATGATCAGTCGGATAACTCATACAAGTGAGCACTAAAATTAGGGACCTACCGGTTCATGTCTGTGTGAACACATCTGTCTGTGTTTTATTGTAATTAGCAGTGTCTCCTTGTATAGCATATATAATAAGTTAATTTCCATTACAAAAAGTATAAACGATATTACCTACTGGTCAGAAAGACTTATCAGTACCCCAACATCGACCCACCGCCAACACCCCAGCCTAGGCCTACCCCATGCCACACCCTCTCACTCGCACTCGCACACACACACACACGTACGCACGCACGCACGCACGCGCACGCACACACACACACACACACACACACACACACACACACACATACGTATCGCTCTGGACCATAGACCCAATATTTGAACCTTTTAAACAGACACCATGTGTATGTCAAGAAAGACACGCACGTTATTAGTGGTGCTCAGTCATGGGTATCACTTCACCATGTGTTTCTAATTATCTCAGTACATTATGGCGTGCTCGGACGCGCTAACGAACCCTATGTGACAGTTACATTACAGAACCATTGAAATACATGTTAAAGTAGTGCTAATCAATGTAACACTATATTTACCCATTTCCAACCATTTACGCATGTACGAAATATATGACAAATCTAACCCTGGTCATACGAGATTTCAAGGGTATTGAAATGTATGTCCTACAATCACAGCATTTACATATGTTACACATGTTAGGAAACACATGGAAACAATGGCCAGATGTACACACCTGTGAAATACATGTAAATGCAGAATTTAATGTTGGTTTATTTTAACACCCCTTTAAACGTGTGTAAATCTGAAGGCCAGATGATACGTAGATTTCAAACGTTGTTCATATGGCCGCCGGATGAAACGAGTATTTCCTGACGTTAGTAAATTTGGGTAATACAGTCATTTTGTGTGGTGTACTATTTCAATCTTTTTGTGCGATCATGTAATGTAAGTCAGGTCACTGACAAGTGACATCTCGGCTCTCGCCGCCCAATCTTCACGCTCGGACACGATGTTTAATGCGAAAATATATACATGAAGCATTTTTGTCACAGGTCATAGCCTAGCACGATAAGTCGAATAAGTTCCATAATTTATGTATAGGTAGCGATTTCTTACTTAATATGTTCAGAATAGCATTATTTTACCCAAAACTTTTGTCTAAATCTAAAGGTTTTCGTTTACTTTAAGTATCGATTGGCCTCTTTTGGGATGAGGATCATGTGCGTGCTTATTTCTTTGGTCACATGTCTGTAAATGTGTTACGAAGGAGTTGACCTGAAATGCTAACATCTAGATTAATGTGCCTCCACTATATTTATCAGTTACCAAAAACAAACATGACTTACCTGTTAGTCCAACAGCCCAGTAGAAGCCCTACGTCCCTGGCTGAACACCCACACAATATATTGCACACCGTACAGGTCATTTCTTACTTCGCAAACCCAAAACATATTGTAGTCGTTATATAGATATACACATGTATCCGTTTTGGGGTTGGACTTACGTTTTAACTTCGAATGTCAGGCTCAAGTGGCATGTGATACACATGAAGTGATGTCTGATGTACACAAGTCGTGCTTTCTTCTATCTGATGAAAATACTATACCTTGTACTGCCATAACCCTCTCTCCAATATTAGGTGAGGTAAAATGGGGTTTAACGTCGTGCTTGAGAATAGTTCGCTCATATGATGACGTGCATGTGTGTGTATGTGTATGTGTGGCTGCTTGTACTAGCCCAAACTTAAGCTGGTTTTATAGAGCTAGCCCACTGAGATACCACGCCGCAGTGAAGCATGAATACCCCACTCAGACACATTATACTGACTCCGAGCCCATCAGCCCTTGTTGTACCTAGGCCTGTCAATGCCGAGGGCCAGGCAGGGACCATATTTTAACGTCTTTTGGTATGACACGGCCGCGCATCGAACCCGCGACCCAACTTTCTCCGGGCGGACGCTCTAACCACTACACCACGGAGGCGGTCCTACGCGAAAAAGAACAAATGTATATTTTCATATTTATGAATGTACATTTGTATATCCTTTTCCTAACAATTTTAGTTTGTATTTTAGATTATCTCCTAATTCCCTCATAATTCTAAAAGAATGGCTAGGCTACTTTTACGCTTGTTAAACTCGCATGTTATGCATAGTGTACCCATGGTGAGACCTACATAAACTGTCAGGTACCCACTACGCGCGGGTCGGACAACACCCAGCCAATCACGTCACGTGTGTCACAGGATTTCTTGAGGATTTAGAACCCTCGAGTATATGTTTGTCCGCTTACCTTCAAGACGTAAATCTTCATGCGACATATGTGGAACCAATGTGGACAAAGTGTTCGCCTGTCTTGTGTCGCCTTATAACCTGGACCATTGTTTTGCTGGCAGGACTCCTATAATATCTAGAGATCCTAACAGCATCTTGGTCCACGGTGGCCGTATAAGGTATAGGGTAAATTTGTAACGAGAGGTCTAATAACAATGACGCTATGACTAAAACAATGTTTTGGCCTGTTTGGTATTCCATACACCACGAAGGTGTATGTATCGTGTTCTATATATGCCTTGGCGACGTGCCCTGAAATACAAGTCGAGGATTAAATTACGGTACACAGCAAACCGGCAACCATATGCACCAGGACCCTGCACGTTACATAATGCCCCGGAGAGCAAGGTTGTCATGAGGTATTCGGGTACAATTATCTGCAAGGGAGGGGTTGTGTATTGTCGCTTTAAGACTGTTCAGTAACTCATCCGCTGTGTCTACCAAAACGTTTGCTTCTTCCTCCCAGCAAAATCAGGAAATCCTATATTCACTGATTGCATATATCTTATGTGCGCCTTAATTATTCAACGACAAATGATCTGTATTTTGGACCAGTGGGGGGTTTTGCACACTCCCTGTCTGAATCCGCCTATGTGTTAGGGTCCGGTACATTACACCCGTTCTCGAACAATATGCAGTAAATTTATGTGTTCCGAAGTCCTTTTATGTTTTGACACTGTTAGCTGTAAAGTTGTAGCGTTTGTTATCCGATCATATTGCTTGATGCGGTGGTTTTGGACAGACCAATCACAGACCAAGTCTGATGGAACGACTAAACCATTGCTACGTGTTCAGACTTCGACTGAAATTGGTGGTTGTGCTCTTTTCCGGAGAAGAACATTAAAACCGGTCACTATTTCTTCACCAAACTTGACACATAGATAGGTCTGGTGGTGTACTGGTGCCTTTAGGTATGTTTGGAATTATAAATAAAATTTCATTTGTGTTTCCATGCCACCAAGTTTGGCTTCGACTGAATTTGGTGGTAGTGCTCCTTTCTGGAGCAGAACTTAAAAACCTTTCAATACGTATACTCTCCTTCCACTTTGCCATACACACCAAAGCATTTGACACAATCATAACTAGTAGACATATTCACGAAGAGTATTTTGCCAATGCGGTTTGTCTTCTTGTTACTTCAATATGTTGATGACATTCACTGAAGTCATACAAGCGGAACAATAAACAGATCATACTACAAGATTTACAAACGACATTGCAAATAAGACCAACTGCATTCTTCAGACAACAATACCCTACAGTGTGACTTGTTAATATCTGATGTGTTAAACACAGTGCTGTTTGATACGGGTTGAAGTATATATGTCCGTAGTTGTTGGTTCATTTGTGATTCATGTCACCATCTTGATCCAAATACCCAGAAATTGACACGTCAGGTCACACATCCTCCACACACTGACTTGTTGATGTTGTCAAACAGCTATGTTTGAAATTCGAATTAATGTGAGGTCAGAGTCTAAACTAACAGGTTCTGAATGTATTGAATTAAACCCTCAACCCCTACTGCTGGGAACCGGGTGTTGGGTATGGTGGAAATCTCGTCTGTAATGCGCTATTTCGTAAAGGTGTACACATGTAAGAGATCAGAGCTGTATAAATATGTACGAGAGGTCCCTGGAAAGAACTCGCTGAAGGTGTGCTATTCCACCAGCAATTGACCTATGTATGGGTCCTATGTTCCCTCGCCGGCACCAAGTGCAATGCATGACTGTGACTTTGGCGACAATCACTGCATTGTCTGGGTCAGACCTGATTTGTTTACAAACAACTTCCTACAGCTGTAATACTGCTGAAACAAATATCTGCTCATGATACAGTCACAATTGCACAATCGACTCTGCCTTTGGCAGGGATGTCTTATTAATGTGGAAACGGTTTTGTCGCTTATACTAGTATAGTATAACCTGGTTATAATGCCACCGTTTGTCCAGAAGAAAACACGGCGTTATATCCTGGGTGGCATTTTAACCAGATAGGACAGTTAGCACCCTGTCCATCAGCTTTCTGCCTAGCCAATTATGTTAATTATGTTGTTTTCTTTGTTACATTGTTACATCCAGCATATATATACTTCCCCCTTCTTCATGTTCCATTATGCTTGACAACGGTACAAGAATCTGTATCGAAACGTCGCACTCACGAAAAAAAAGATGCTGTTATCCATAACGTGTGTTCTATATTGAACTTCTGAGATTCCAATCAAGCAGATCGTGGCAGGATGTGTATTGTTACATGTGTTATCCCATCTGGGATTACATGACTACTTAGAGCATTAATGAGTTTGGTTAATTAATTTGGGTCATGTCAATTAACCAATTAAGGTGTGTATACTACATTCAGCCAGTATGGTGTAACTCCAGCTAGGGTCCATGCAGGAAGCAAATGTACTGTAAGTCCCCATGGTCTCTAGTAAGGTGATCTACCTTCAGCTGTTGGCGATATATAGCCTATTTTTATATTGTGTTGTCACCTATAGTTCAAATATTTTAGATTTAATTACTAGTTTTACATGTCTAACTTTGATATTCTAGTTGTTTTACTGTCCTTCGTCGGCAGGTTTTTATGATATAGATATATTTTGTTTCAATATCAAATGTTCTCGTCACGATATGGCTGAAATATTGCCGATGTGACGTTAAATCTTAACTCACTCACTCACTCACATTCAGCCAGTGCAATTGGCATTGTAACCAGGAGAAAATGACTTTTTGTTCCCAACACCTTTGGCATATGGCATTATATCCAGTTTGGCATTATAACCAGACTACTATTTAGACAGGAAATCCGTTCTGGCAAAACCATGGCATTATATCCAGAGTCGCTTTATAACCGAAGTGGCATTTTAACCGTGGCATTATATCCAGGGTGGCATTATAACCGTGGCATTATATCCAGGCTGGCATTATAACCAGGGGTATTATAACAAGGGTGGCATTATAACCAAGATGGCATTATAACCACGGCGTTATAACCGTGGCATTATATCCAGGGTGACATTATAACCAGGATGGCATTATAACCGTGGCATTATAACCAGGGGCATTATAACCGTGGCATTATAACCGCGGCATTATATCCAGGGTGGCATTATAACCAGGGGTATAATAACAAGGGTGGCATTATAACCAGGATGGCATTATAACCGTGGAGTTATAACCGTGGCATTATATCCAGGTTGGCATTATAACCAGGATGGCATTATAACCGTGGCATTATAACCAGGGGCATTATAACCGTGACATTATAACCGCGGCATTATATCCAGGGTGGCATTATAACCAGGGGTATTATAACAAGGGTGGCATTATAACCAGGATGGCATTATAACCGTGGCATTATAACCAGGGGCATTATAACCAGGGTGGCATTATAACCAGGGGCATTATAACCAGGGTGGCATTATAACCTAGGTCGCATTATAACCGTCAACAGGGCCATTATACCCAGGGTGACATTATAACCAGGGTGGCATTATAACCAGGGGCATCATACCCAGGGTGACATTATAACCAGGGTGGCATTGTAACCAGGGGCGTTATAACCAGGGGCATCATACCCAGGGTGACATTATATCCAGGGTGGCATTTTAACCAGGGGCATTATAACCAGGGTGGCATTATAACGAGAATGGCATTGTAACCAGGGGCGTTATAACCAGGGTGGCATTATAACCAGAGTGGCATTGTAACCAGGGGCATTATACCCAGGGTGGCATTACATCAAGGGACATTATATCCAGGGTGACATTATAACCAGGGACATTATATCCAGGGTGACATTATATCCAGGGGCAATATATCCAGGGTGGCATTATATCCAGGGTGGCATTATAACCAGGGGCATTATAACCAGGGTGGCATTATAACCAGGAGCATTATAACCAGGGTTGCATTATAACCTGGGGCATTGTAACCAGGGTGGCATTACATCAAGGGACATTATATCCAGGGTGACATTATAACCAGGGTGGCATTATAACCAGGGGCATTATAACCAGGGGCATTATATCCAGGTGGCATTATAACCAGGAGC